AGCCCGTCGTTCGTCGTCGTCGTCAGTCGTCCGTCGTCGTCGTCGTCGTCGTCGTCGTCGTCGTCGTCGTCGTCGTCGTCGTCGTCGTCGAGCGTCGTTGCCACGGCGGGCCCACGCAGCACCTTCCCCCCCTGGGTGCATCCGCAGCGCGGCGTTCGTCGATGTTCGTCGTCGGCGTCGTCGCCGTCGCGCGTCGTTGCTGCGGCGGGCCCACGCAGCACCCGCCCCCTCCCCGTGGCGCTTCCGGAGCGCGGCATTCGCGGTCGTCGTCGTCGTTGTTGCCGCGGGGCTTTGCTTTGCGACCAGAGTGCGAATGAAACAATTGTTTTCGTTTCCCACGCGGTTTTCGGGGTGGCACGTGTCACCGACGTGTTGTTTCACGCTGTGCGACCCCATTTTGGCGTCCAGGATACGAGTGGAACGGTATATTGTCTTTCACGGTTTTCGGGGCGAGAGGTGCCACCCGCGCGTTAATTCACACTGCGTTTTAGGGGCGCGAGGATGCACCGTGGGGAGGGGGCCAGAGGCGCCCCCTCCCCACGGTGCATCAAGAGCGCGGCGTTCGTCGTCGTCGTTGCTACGACCCGGCGCGACGACCAGAATACGAATGGAATACTTGGTTTTCGTCATACGGCTTCATGTCGGCGTCCAGGGTACGAGTGACGCAGCTATTTTTTCTCACGCGGTTTTCGGGATGACACGTGTCACCCGCGTGTTGTTTCACACTGTATGTCCCCATGTTGGCGACCAGTATAGATTGAAGCTGTTGTTTTGCCTCGCGCGGTTTTCGGGGTGACACGTGTCACCCGCGTGTTGTTTCACACTGTATGGCCCCATGTTGGTGACCAAGACACGCATGAAACAAGTTGTTTCTCACACGGTTTTCGGGGTGACACGTGTCACCCGCGTGTTGTTTCACAATGTCTGGCCCCATGTTGCCGACCAGAATACGAGTGAGAGAATCAATTTCTCACACGGTTCTCGGTGTGACACGTGGTTCACCCGTGTGTTGTTTCACATTGTACGGCCCTATGTTGAAGTCTGGAGCACGAGGGAAACAATGGTTTTTCCCCACACGGTTTTCGAGATAACGCGTGCCACCCGTGTGTTCTTTCACACTGTATGGCACCATGCTGGCGACCAGAATACGAGTGAAACAGTGCATTTTTTTCTCATACGGTTTTCGGTGTGACATGTGTTGCCTGCGTTTTGTTTCGCACTGTATGGCCCAACCTGGGACCAGAATGCGAATGAAACGCTTTGTTTTTCTCACACGGTTTTCGGGGTGGCACGTGTCACTCGCGTGTTGTTTCACATTGTGTGGCCCCATATTGTCGTCCAGAATACGAGTGAAGCAATTGTGCCTTTCTCACACGGTTTTCGGGGTGACACGTGTCACCCGCGTGTTGTTTCACATTGTGTGGCCCCGTTCTGGCGACCAGAAAAAAGTGAAACCGTTGTTTGTTTCATAAGGTGTTCGGGGTGACGCGCGGCGCTTGAAACAATGTGTTGTTATCACACAGATTTCGGGGTGACACGTGTCATTTGGTGTTGTTTCACACACGATGGCTCCATGTTGGCGTCTAGAACATTAGAGAAACAATTGTGTTTTTCTCACACGGTTTTCGGGGTGCGCGTGTCACCCGTGTGTTCTTTCACATTGTATGGCGGCCTCATGTTGGCGACCAGAACACGCGTGAAACAGTTGGATTGTTTCGCGCAGTTTTCGGGGTGGCACGTGTCACCCGCGTGCTGTTTCACACTGTATGGCCCAATGTTGGCGTCCAGAATACGAGTGAAACCGTTGATTTGTTTCACACGGTGTTCGGGGTGACACGTGTCACCCGCGTGTTGTTTTACAATGTATGTCCCCATGTTGGCGTCCAGAAAACGAGTGACGCATGTTGTTTTCTCACACGGTTTTCGGGGTGGCACGTGTCACTCGCGTGTTGTTTCACATTGTGTGGCCTTACGTTGGCGTCCAGAATACGCGGGAAACAGTGGCTTTTTGCTCGCACGGTTTTCGGGGTGACGCGTGTCACCCGCGTGTTGTTTCACAATGCATGGCCACGTGATCCCGACCAGAATACGAGTGAAATTTTTTTTTGGTCTCACACGGTTTTCGGGGTGGCACGTGTCACCTTGTGTTTTTTGTTCGTGTATGGCCCCATGTTGGGGACGTCGCTTCGCGCGGAAGCGAGGAAGTCTTTAGGAACCCCGTGGGAATTTTCAGGAATCCTTAGGGAATCTTTAGGCATCCTTCGGGAATTCTTGGGAATCCCTCGGGAATCCATGGGGATCCTCAGGGAATCGTTCGGACCCCCCGAGGAGTCCGAAGTCCATATGGAATCTTTTGGAATCCGTCGGGGATCCTTAGAAATCCTTCTGGGATCCTCAGGAATCATTCGGCAATCCTTTTGGAATCCCTAGGGGATCCCGAGGAAACCCCTTCGGGAACCCGGAAGAAACCTTAGGGAATCCTCAAGAATCCAGAGAAATCCTTACGCATCCACAGGGAATCCTTCGGAATCCTTAAGGAATCCTTGAGATTCCTTCAAGGATGCTTAGGGATCCTTCGGGAAGCTTTAGGAATCTGTATCGAATCCTTAGGAATCCTCCGGGAACCCTTAGGAACCCCAAGGGAATCCGCAGGAATCCCTACCTTAGGGAATCATTAGGACTCCTCTGGGAATCCTTAAGAATGCTTGAAGAATCCGTTGGGAGTGCGGGCGAATCCCTCGGGAATCCTGAGGAGCCCTTTGAATATCCGACGAAATCCTTAAGAACCGGTCGGGAATCATCCGGGATCCATATGTCATTTGGATGAATGCCGAGGGAATCCTCAGAAATCCGGATGGGAATCCTTGGGAATCCGTTTGGAAATCCTTAGGATAGGAATCCTTAGCAAATCCTGTGGAATCCCTAAGAGATCTTTAGTAATCCGAAGGGAATCCTCGGAAATCCTTAGGGAATATTCCGGAATCGTTAGGGAATCTTTACGCATCCACAGGGAATCCTTCGGAATCCTTTTGGAATGCGTGGAAATCCTTTTCTGGGAATCCTTCGGATTCCCCAGGGAATCTTTTGAAAACCCAAGGGAGTCCTCAGGAATCCAGAGGGAATCCTTAGGAATCCTTTGGGGATCCTTAGGAATCCTTTGGGGATCCTTTGGAATCCTTCGGAATTCCTTGGGAATCCCAAACTCTCCTTGCCGCCCCCCCAGCGAAGAATAATGGACGTCGCGCGCCACCCTTATTTAAAGTGTTTCCCCATGCTCAAGCAGCAGGGCCGCGCACGTCAAGAATAATAGGTTTAAGCTTTAATTCTTCGTCGGCAAGCTCAAAGTTATCTTGTAGTTTCAAGCCCCAGGCCGGCCCCAGAATAATCATTGTGCATGTAGTGTTGTTTCCGAACATACATCCTTGGAGCAATTCCACGGCAACCTCGGGGATACCAGAAAAGCCACAGAAGACACAGTTAATCGATAGGGTTGAACAGTCTTCAGCGCCACGTAATGGGGCCTACGGCCTTAAGACCGTAAGACCCTTAGACCCTCAGGCCCGAAGAGCTGCAGACCCGAAGTCCCGAAGACCCGAACCCTTTAGGACCTTAAGGCGCTAAGACCTTAAGACCACGAGACCCCAGGACCCGAAGGGCCTCAGACCTCAAGGCCCTACGTCCCCAAAGCCCGAGGACCCTATGACCCTAAGACCGTAAACCCGAATACCCTAAGACCCCAAGACCATCAGACCCTAGGATCCTACAACCTTAAGGCTCCAAGACCACAAGACCCGAATGCCCTAGAACCCCAAGACTCGAAGGCCCGAAGGCCCTGAGGACCCAAGACGCTACGTAAGGCATTAAGAACAGAAGCTTCGAATACCCGAAGACCCTAAGACCCGAAGGCCGGAAGGCCCGAGGACCCGAAGACCTTAAACCCCAAGGCCCTAAAGCCCCATGGCCCTATGGCCCCAAGGCCCGAAGGCCCCAAGACCTTAAGACCCGAACGCCCGAACTGAAACCGTAAGACCCTGAGGCCCGAAGACACGAAGACCCTAAGACCCGAAGCCCCTAATACCCTAAGAACCTAATACCCTAAGACGCAAACGCCTTAAAACCCCAAGGCCCTAAGACCCTCAGGCCCTAAGGCCCTCAGGCCCTCAGACCCTAAGACCCTAAGGCCCTAATGCTCTTAGGCCCTCAGGCACTCAGGCCTAATGACCCTAAGATCCTCAGGCCCCAAGAACCTTAGACCCACCCTAAGATCCTCAGACCCTACGACTCTCAGGCTCTAAGACCATAAGACCTCCAGAGCCTTCAGCCCTAAGACCCGAAGACCCGAAGAACTAAACAACGCAGGAGGTCAGCCCGTTACGTTGTAGAGCCACCATGTTTCGGAAGGCCCAGCGAACAGCCGCCCTACGTTGGGAAGCTACCATGTTGCGGAAGGCCCGTGTTGCGGAAGGCCCGGCGAAAGACCTCCTACGTTGGGGAGCCACTATGTTGCGGATGGCCCGGCGTTAATCCTCCCTACGTTGGGAAGTTACCATGTGGCGGACGGCCTGAGGTGAAGTTGTGGTGGAGCTCCTTGCGGGGGCTGTGGTGCAGCTCCTCATGGGCCGCGAAACAATTAAGGGGGTTGCGGACATGGACACGCAGAGGGCAGAGGCAGGGACGGGTGGAGGTAGACAGGAGGAGAGGACGGATGAGGACTCGGGGCGTTGTCTCTTCAAGACAAGGACCCAACACCACAGGTTGGTTGTAGAAACCATCATTCGGATGTCTGGAAGCTTGAGGATGACGATGGAGGAGGAGGATGTAGGAGGAGGAGGAGGAGGAGGATGGAGGAGGAGGACGAGGAGGATGTGGAGGAGGAGGAGGGGAAGAGGGAGGAGGAGGGATGATGATAAGGAATTGTGATGGAGGACGAAGCAGGCTGGAGGAGTAGGACGAGGCCTGGGCCCGCCCGTGGCGGCGCACGCGCGCGCAAGTCCGATGAGGTGGAGCCCGCGGACGCCGCGGCAGAGGCGGCGGGCTCGCCGCCAGAGGTGGCAGAGGAGGCCGCCAGAGGCACCCGCTCGTCGCCAGAGGCGCCGTGCTACGGCGACCAGCACGAGGCCTTCCAAGCGCGCAGCGATCAAATAGTGGCGAGGCGTCCCGGCGTGCTTATAGGCCCTCCAGTGAACGTTCTAAGAAGCTTTTGTGGTTTGCACGAAATGCTCTTAGGACAGATCTTGCTGAGACCGTCTTGATTGGATCCATCGGTTCTACCTTCCAAGAACAGTGTGTTTGGTTTTACCTGATTGTTTTGCCGTGGTGGGCCTATGGGACATGCCGTGGAAGGCCTATGGGAATGCTTTGACGGTCGGCCCCTGCTCAAAGCGAAGGTCAGCGCCAGTGGTCGGAGGAGGGCCAGTCGAGACGGCGGCACTCCCTGGCGCTTTTGATCCTGTGTGGGCCTCCTGGAGGCTTCTCGTCGCCACGGCCGGATCCGTTTCGAATAGCTGGTCAGGACGAGCCCTGGGAGGGGTCTGGCGACGAGCTTTGAGCGCACGTGGGGCAGGGACAGACTTTGACAGATTTTGCGCACGACGGGTTATGTCGACGCAGCGGTGACCCCGACGCGGGCGTTGAACGTTGAGCGACGCCGGTGGCCTGGAGTCGGCCGAGTCGGCCTGGAGAAGGCCGCGATCAGGCCGGCGCGCAAGTCGCGACGGCACGAAGCGCGAGCTGGCCGCAGCTTTTCCCTGGCTTTGGCGTCCGGGGCCGGCCGTCGGGCCTCAGCGCCAGCAAGAGCGGGCCGAGGCCTCGGGGCAGGGCTCGGGACCTCCCGGGGCCGCGGAGGGAGGCATCACCTCGTCGAGTGTCTGGGAGGGGCCGCACCTTCGGCTCCTCTCGCCCTCGGCGGGAGCAAGAAGTTGGCGGCGGTCGCGACGGCGGAGGGCGCGGCGGGAGTGAGTGCGAGGCGTTTGCATTCAGTGTGCCAGGGGCCGACGACCGACGACGACGACGACCACCACGACCACCACGACGACGACGACCACCACCACCGCCACCATCGCTACCACGACGATGACGACGACGACGACGACGAGGACGATACCAAGGACGAGGACGACGTCGACGAGGACGACGACGACGACGAGGCCGACGACGACGACGACGACGGCGACGACTAAAGTGAGAACGAGGCCTTCGCATTGCTGGATCCAGGGTTTGGATTCAGGAGCTGGCCACCGATCCCCTCTGGCTGGGCCTGGTCGCCAGATCGCCGATGATTTGGCTTCTTCCGATCGGGCCCAAGGACAATCAAAAACGGATCCAGGATGACAAGCTACCCCCGGGGAGCAGGTCGGGACCTCTGGGGCCGCACAGTGAAAAACTGTCTTGGCGAAGGACCCGACCACACACAGTTGTGAGTACCGCGCTCGTGAATATCGCCTTCAGTGGAGCTCCCAGGGGGGCCACGAAACGAGTGAGAGGTGTGCTGAAATGGACCTGGGGGCGCATGCTGGCCCTGCCACTGGGGCCTGCAGTGGGACCCCCAATAGGTCCCGAAACACGTGACGGATGTGCCGAAATGGGTTTGGGGACGCATGCGAGTTGTGCCACTGTGGCCTTCGGTGGAGCTCTCCATGGGGCCACGAAACGTGTGTGTGTGTGTGTGGGTGTGTGTGTGTGCGCGTGGGTGTGCGTGTGCGTGTGCGTGTGCGTGTGCGTGTGCGTGTGCGTGTGCGCGTGCGTGTGCGCGTGCGTGTGCGCGTGTGTGTGTGTGTGTGTGTGTTGTGTGTGTTGCGTGTGTGTTGTGTGTTGTGTGTGTGTGTTGTGTGTGTGTGTTGTGTGTGTTGTGCGTGTGCTGTGTGCGTTGTGTGTGCGTTGTGTGTTGTGTGTTGTGTGTGTTGTGTTGTGTGTGTGTTGTGTGTGTTGTGTGTGTTGTGTGTGTGTTGTGTGTGTGTTGTGTGTGTTGTGTGTGTGTTGTGTGTGTTGTGTGTGTTGTGTGTGTGTTGTGTGTGTGTGTTGTGAGTGTTGTGTGTGTGCTGTGTGTGTTGTGTGTCTTGTGTGTGTGGTGTGTGTTGTGTGTTGTGTGTGTTGTGTGTGTTGTGTGTGTTGTGTGTTGTGTGTTGTGTGTGTTTGTGTTGTGTGTGTTGTGTGTGTTTTGCGTTGTGTGTTGTGTGTGTTGTGTGTGTTGTGTGTTGTGTGTTGTGTGTGCTGTGTGTTGTGTGTGTTGTGTGTGCTGTGTGTGTTGTGTGTTGTGTTTGGTGTGTGTTTGTTGTGTGTTGTGTGTGTTGTGTGTTGCGTGTGTGTTGTGTGTGGTGTGTGTTGTGTTGTGTGTTGTGTGTGCTGTGTGTGGTGTGTGGTGTGTGTTGTGTGTTGTGTGTGTTGTGTGTTGTGTGTTGTGTATTGTGTGCTGTGTGTTGTGTGTTGTGTATTGTGTGTTGTGTGGGTTGTGTGTTGTGTGTTGCGTGTTGTGTGGTGTGTGGTGTGTGTTGTGTGTTGTGTGTTGTGTGTTGTGGGTTGTGGGTTGGGGGTTGTGGGTTGTGGGTCTGTGTTGTGTGTTGTGTGCTGTGTGTTGTGTATTGTGTGTTGTGTGTTGTGTGTTGTGTGTTGTGTGTTGTGTATTGTGTGTTGTGTGTTGTGTGTTGTGTGTTGTGCGGTGTGCGGTGTGCGGTGTGCGGTGTGCAGTGTGCAGTGTGCAGTGTGCAGTGTGCGTTGTGCGTTGTGCGTTGTGGGTTGTGCGTTGTGCGTTGTGCGTTGTGCGTTGTGTGTTGTGTGTTGTGTGTTGTGTGTTGTGTGTTGTGTGTTGTGTAATGTGTAATGTGTGCTGTGTGTTGTGTGCTGTGTGCTGTGTGCTGTGTGTTATGTGTTGTGTGTTGTGTGTTGTGTGTTGTGTGTTGTGTTCACGTGTGTCTGTGTGTCTGTGTGTCTGTGTGTCTGTGTGCCTGTGTGTCTGTGTGTCTGTGTGTCTGTGTGCCTGTGTGTCTGTGTGTCTGATTGTCTGTGTCTGTGTGTCTGTGTGTCTGTGTGTCTGTGTGTCTGTGTGTCTGTGTGCCTGTGTGCCTGTGTGTCTGTGTGTTCTCTGTGTCTCTGAGTCTCTGTGCCTCTGTGTCTCTGTGTGTCTCTGTGTGTCTCTGTGTGTCTCCGTGTGGCTCTGTGTGTCTCTGTGTGTCTATGTGTGCCTGTGTCTGTGTCTGTGTGTGTGTGTGAGTGAGTGTGAGCGGGGGGGGGGGAATGAGTGGGGAACCGCATGCGACCCCTCCCCCCTCCTGGGGGCTTCGGTAGAGCTCCCTGAGTGGCCACGAAAACTGCGAGGGGTGTGCTAAAATGGGTAGGGGCTCCCACTGGTGCCACGAAGCGTGCCAGGGGCGTGCCAACATGGGAAAGAACCGCATGCGAAACAGTCTTTCTGAGGGCGTGGGTGGAGCTCTATATGGGACCACGAAATGTGTGAGCGGTTTACCCAAGAGGGTCAAAACCGCATGCGACCCACCTCCCCTCCTGGGGGCTGTCGTGGAGCTCCTGATAGGGCCACGAACCGTGTGAGGGGTGCACCAAAATTGATAATAACCACATGCGACACCCACCTTTTGGGGGGCTTCGATGGGGCTACCTGTGGGGCCAAGCAACGTGTCAGGGGTGTACCGAAATGGCCAAGAACCGCATGTGGAACCACTCTCGTGGGGGGTTCGGTGGAGCTCCCTGTGGGACCACACAACGTGTGAGGGGCGTGCCGACATGAGAAAGAAGCGCATGCAACCCCCTCTCTCCTGGGGGCTTCGGTGGACTTCCCCGTTGGGCCACGAAACGTTTGAAGGGTGCGCCGAAATAAATAAGAAACGCATGCGAACCTCCCTCTTGGGTGGGCGCTTCGGTGGAGCTCCATTTTGGGCCACGATTGTGTGAGGGGTGTTGTGCCGACATGGACACGCGGAGGGCTGAGGCAGAGATATGAGGAGGGAGGGATAAGGGAGGAGGAGTGGTGGGGAGGGGAGGGGAGGGGAGTGGAGGGGAGAGAGGGGAGGAGAGGAGAGGAGAGGAGAGGAGAGGAGAGGAGACGCGGGGCGCTGTCTTTTCAAGACGAGGCCACAACACCACTGGATGGTTGGGAAGAACATCGTCGGATTTGAGGGTTTGGGAGCCGTGCGGAGCTGGCCCGCTGTCATTCCTCCCTCCGCTGACTGGGGTCAGGATTTCGGAACTGCTACGCGGCAGGCCAAGGTTCTCGACGTGGCCCTGGCCGACCCAGGTTCAGGGATCACCCAGGTTAACACGTCTCCGTGGGAGGATCGGAGGGAGGATCGAGGGGACAGAGATTGCGTTTCTGCACGACTCTGCATATTGTCTGGTGCTTTTAGGGTCCTGGTCATAGCCCACCCCAGGAGTTTGACGGGGATCTTCCTTCTGATTGTTTTTATGGTTAAAACATTTGTTCGGGGGCTGGCTCTTGAGCAGGAAGAGGAAGAGGAGGAGAGGATGAGGAGGAGGAGGAGGAAAAGAGGGAGCACGACGACGATGAGGATGAAGACTGACCCAGACTGGCGATTGTTTTGCGACTTCCTGCCTCGGGGGGCCGCCTTGAAAGCGGTCCCCAGAGGCAGAACATATTAAACAATTAGCTTGGCGAAGGGCCCAACCATATGCAATTGTGAGTACGGTAGTTCTGAGTATCGTCTTCGGTGGAGCTCCGCATGGAGCGGCAAAACGTGTGAGGGGTCGTGCCGAAATGGGCGAGGAGACCGTCTGCGGTCTGTGCCATTGGGGCCCATGGGGCCACGAAACGTGTGAGGGGCGCGTCGCAATTGATGGGGAAGACGCATGCGAAACCTGCCACTGGGGACCTCTAGAGCTCCCTATGGGGCCACGAAGCGTGTCAGGGGTGCCGTAGTGGGCCGGGTACGCATGCGAATCCTGCCATTGGGGCCTTCGGTGGAGCTCCCCATGAGACCACGAAACGTGTGGAGGATGTGCCGGCAAGGGTATGAACCGTATGCGAGCACCCCCTCCTGGTGGGTTCGGTGGAGCTCCTTGTAGGGCCACGAAACGTCAGAGGGGTGTGCCGAGATGGGTCAGAATCGCTTGCGAATCCCCCCTCCTGAGGACTTCGGTGGAGCTTCCCGTGGGGCCACGAAACGTGTGAGGGGTGTGCCGACATGGGCATGTGGAGGGCAGAGGCAGGGATAGAAGGAGGAAGGGTGGAGAGGAGAGGAGGGAGGAGGACGCGGGGCGCCCTCTTCAAAACGAGGGCCCACCACCACAGGATGGTTGGGAAACACAGTCGGACCCCGAGACCGTCGAAAACGACTGGAGACGAAGGCCCCGTCCCACAGAGGTGTGTGTGTGTGTTGAAAGAAGCATGACGTCGGATGAGGTCCAGGGTAGAATGAGGAGGAGGAGGAGGAGGAGGAGGAGGAGGAGGAGGAGGGGAAGGAGGAGCAGCAGCAGCAGGTTTCGGGATGCGCTCGCTTTCCACGTGAAAAGGTGGATGTAGGTGTTTGGATGTTTTAGGTTTCTTCGAGGGGCTTTAGGGGTGTGTCCTCCACAAGCTTCCGGATAATTCGAGGAGCAGGGTGGCCTTGGGGAAGATCTTCGTGCCCACGGTTGGACGCGTCTCGAAGCCCTTCGCGGCCACGGCCGGACGCGTTGCGGAAAACTGGTCAGGGTGGTTTGCGGAAGTGGTTTTCTGAACAGCCTTTCGAGTGGCCAATGGGCGAAGGGGTGGAGGGGAAGCAGGAGTTTGAGCAGGAGCAGGCGGACTCCCAGGGGAGGGTCCTGTCGCCGCGGCGACATCCTTCTCAAGATCCTGGCCAGAGCACGCCGGGACGCGCTCCGTGACAGGCCAGAGGAATAGCTCTTGAGGGCGGAGGAGGCGCAGGAGGAGGAGGAGAAGGAGGAGGAGGAGGAGGACACATGTGTGTATATATATATATATATACATACATATTTTTATATACAGTATACAGTAAAGGAAGGAGGAGGGAAGGACGCAATGACGCAGAGCTCCGTCGTCCTGATTTTGTGCGCGCGGCCCCCTTCCCGCTATCGACCCATTCCGTGGGTGGCTGGTTCTTCTGCCTGCGCCCCCAAAGCCCGAAAACCGGTGTTCCAGACGCCGACGCCGGTGAGCAAGCAGAAAGCCGCGCCGTTTTTTCCAAGACGTTGGGAGATCTTGGGGATAGAACGAGCGAATCAGGGATGGGTGGGGCAGGGTGCTGCAGTACGCACAGACAGTCCCCCCAGGTTGTCCCTGTTGGCCTCAGCAGTCCCCCCGAACAGTCCCAGTTGGTTTCAACAGGTCCCCAGAGTAGTCCGCAGCGGTCCAACACCTCAGCCACACGGCGCGGAACGGCCCGTGGGCGCCGCTGTAGGCGGCGCCATGCTGTTGAGATCGCCCTAGACTACTCGGGGGGCCTGAAGAGGAGGAGGAGGAAGAGGAGGAGGAGGAGGAGGAGGAGGAAGAGGAGGAGGAAGAGGAGGAGGAGGAGAGGAGGAGGAGGAGGAGGAGGAGGAGAGGAGGAGGAGGAGGAGGACGACGAGGAGGAGGAGGAGAAGAACGAGGTGGAGGAGGAGGAGGAGGAGGAGGAGGAGGAGTGCCGCAGAAAGAAACCCGCTCGCCAGGCGCCTCCGCTCCCGTCGCAGGGGATCACCCTGGAGGAGTTCCGAGCGCAGACGCTGGACGCGCTCAAGGTGGCCCGCGAGAACGGCACCCTCGAGGCCCACCTGGAGCGTGCGCTTGGGCGGCAGCCATCGCAGGAGGCCACCGCCGTTGCAGCCGCGCTGGAGGCAGCCAGCATCCGTCGAACGACGCAAGACGGCGCAAATATAAACTTTCGGAGCTCCGCGCGGATTTCTTGGATCGGCGCTGGGGCCCCCCTGGCCCTCTGGCGCCGCCCCCGGCGCGCTCCGTGCGCCAGGCTCACGGCCCGGCAAGGGGGCGTAGCGCCGATTCAGGAGATCCGTGCGAAGCTTCGGAAGCTTATGCTTATGCATATGTTTGCCCTTCCCATCTGGGCTCCCAGAAGTGAGGGCCCTAGCCCAGACCCCTCCAGTGCGGGGAGAAGAAGCTGGTCGCGGCGGGCGCTTCTTCCTCGGATATCTCGCCCTCCCGAGGCTGCTCGTTTGTTCGACCCGGGGGCCGACAGGAAGCACGGCACGGAGCGACAAGCCAGCCCCCGGGCGAAGTGGCCGAGGCCCCTTGTAGGGCCCACGCGTCGGCAGAGGTCACGACGCCAGGGAGTCGTGCGGATCGCCCGCTCAGGCGGCGGAGGCGGCGCCGCCGGCCGCCGAGGCGGCGGTCCCTGGCTCCGCTCGGCCCGAGGCGAGGGCAGCGGGCGCCGTCGCCCCGGCGGAGGCTCCGGCGGCGGGCGCGGGCGCGGCGGGCGGGGGCGCCACCGGCCGCGCGCTGCTGGTGGTCACCTCAGCCGCGCTGCTGGGGGGGCACCCCTGCGGCCTGTGGAGCGAGGCGTCCCTGGGCAGTGGGACAATCGAAGAAGAGTCGAGGATGGAAAAGCCACCCCTCGACGTTCGATCCTTGATCCTCGAACCTCGGTGCTCGAACCGCGGCCCCCACTGCGCGGCGCCGCCGCCGGGGCGACCCAGCGGGGGGCGCGCGCTGAGCACGCCCTGGACTGGCCCGGCGGCGGGGCAGCGGCCGCAGCCGCCCGTCGGCCACGGGTCCCTCTTCATCTTCGTCTGCTAAGTGGCCTTGGTTGCTTACCAGACAGCCCTGTCGTGTCCGCTGCCTTCCCTGGGTGCGTTTGCTAGACGGCTCCGCGCGTCGGGGTGCTCATTGTGAGCGTGGGTTTTCGGCCCTCTGGAGAAGAAGCGGCATACACATAAGCTTCCCAGTCTCTGCACGGACTTCGTGGGTTTTCGGCCCTCTAAAGAAGAAGCGGCATACACAAGCTTCCCAGTATCCGCACGGACTTCGTGGGTGTTCAGCCCTCTGGAGAAGAAGCGGCATGCACGTGAGCTGCCCAGTCTCCGCACGGACTTCGTGGATCGGCGCTGTGCATTTTCGGCGGCGCTTCTCTGGCACCGCCCCGCGCCCCAAGGAGGGGGTTCCAGCGTGGATCCAAGACATCCGCGCGGAACTCCAAAAATCGATGCTCACATTGCTATTTGTTCCTCTTACCCAGACATCCGAAGGTTGAGCCAAAAATCCTCACACTGAGGTTCTGCTTTTTGCGGGGCCCGGGGCCATGAGAAAGAGGCCCGGGGCGAGGAGCGGCAACTGGGGAACAGGTCTGGACCTCATGGGGCCGCGGACAGAAAAGTACAGACTCGTCGGATCTCCGAAAAACATCCAGGTTCATGCACTTGCGGTGCGGATTCCAGGGCGCGGCCGCGTGGGTGTGTGATCCAAGGGGTGCGCTCCGCATGGGGGGCATCCGCGCAGGGCTTGCCCGTGTCCATGGGATCGCGGCCGAGGAGTCCCGGCCGCGATGCCGTGGATGTGGGCGTGTGCTCCCGCCCACGAGGCGTGCACTGGCCCGTACTTCCTCTTCAAGGACGCCTGGCTCTTGACCCCCTTCTCTTTTTGCTGGCATGCCATCGAGCTCACCCGTAGCGCCCTCCTCCCTATTGCGAAGGCCTTACGGCCGGTGCCGCCGACCCTGAGAACGACGAAAATGAAAACGAGGGGGGGGCAGGGGGACGAGGATGAGTGGGAGGTGGAAGAAGGATGGAGCAGGTGGATGAGGGAGGAGGAGAGGGGAGAATGATGTGGAGGAGAAGCAAGAAAAGGAGAAGGAGGCAGAGGAGAGCAGGAGGAGGGGGAGCAGATGGGGGGGAGGAGGAGGAGGAGGAGGAGGAGGAGGAGGAGGAGGAGGAGGAGGAGGAGGAGGAGGAGGAGGAGGAGGAGGAGGAGGAGGAGGAGGAAGAGGAGGAGGCCAGAGGCTTTCTTGGGACAGCCTGTGGCTCTCCTGAGGCCGTCTTGGGCCGTCCAGGGCTCCTCTTGCGCCGTCTCGAGGCACTCTTGGAGGCCTCCTGGGCAATTGGGGGCTCTCCTGGGCTGTCTTGGGGCAGTTTGGGGGCCCGGGCTTCTTCGGGGCCTCTTGGGGGCCTCTTTGGGTTGAGAGCTCGAAATGTCCGTTCGGGTCCCCCGTCTGGACACTCTCCTGGAGCCGTCTTGGGGGCCTCTTGGGCCGTCTTGGAGGCGTCTTGGGCCGTCTTCGGGCCCTCTTCGGCCGTTGGGGGGATCCCGAGGAGACCGCGCGGGGGCGGGGAAAGGGAAAGAGTGGTCGCTCGAGAGGTGAAGGTCCCAGCAAAGGCAAGGGTCCGCGTACCTGAGGCCAGCTGAGCCGTCGGGGTGTTGCGTGCATCGGGCTTGTGCTGGCGGGGCCCGTGCGGCAATTGGCCAAGAGTGGATCGTATCTTTTTAGCAGTTTACATCGGCTTCGTAGGATAAGCCTCCTCAGGGAACAACCCCGTGGGCAGCTAAGAGTGCTTCGCTGATCGATGGGATGTTGCGTTGCCAGTGCTTTCCTTCGGATCTGGTCCCCATGAGCTAGAAAGAAAAAACCGTTGGGGGACCCTCTTGGGGGCCTCTTTGGCCGTCTCGGGGCGATCTTGGAGGCCTCTTGGGCCGTTTTGGCGCGTCGGGAAGCGGAAGACGCAAGAACGCCAATTTCTTTCAAAAGCGTACGGGAAATCCATGAATTTTGCCTCTTGGGGCTCTCCTGAGAAACCTCCTGGAGGCCTCTTGGGGCGCTTTGCAGGCCTCTGGGGCCGTCTGGAGGCCGTCAAGGCGTCTTGGACAGATCGTTCGGCGATTCGGGGTTCTCTTGGACTGTCTTCGGGGCCTCTTGGGGCACTCTTGGCCCGTCTTGGGTTTTTTTGGGGGGGCTCTGGGACTCCCAGGGGGGGCGTCGTATCTGACCCCCCCCCCCGAACCCCCCGGGGACCCCCCCTCCCTGCGGGGGAGGGATCGAAGGGAAGGGGCTTCCCTTCGACTCAGTTACGACGTTGCTCAACTTCGCTTTGGCTGGCACGCTGAGGAGGTCCTTGGTGAAGGGGGGAATTTCGACGAGCCCAGGGAAAGGGGGAAGGCAGGGAAAGGGGACGACAGAGATGACGACCAACGAATGACGGAGATGACGACTTGAATGGACAAGCCCCCCCCGCACACACGCCGACAGGGTCGGCGGATTCAACAAGCTTTCGTCACATCCGCCGACCCCTTGAATCTTTTGACAACGAGCTCGTGGGAATGCAGCGCGGGGGAAGAGGCCAGGCCGAAGGGGCAAGGCTGGCAGGCGTGAGCCACATTGTCAGATAGAAAGGTGTCTCGTTCATATGTGCAAGATCTTGGGCATTTGGAGACAGTGCGAGGATGTTTCGGACGAGACGCTGGGGCCTTCAGCGCCATTGTGCAACAGCTGCGGGGCAGAGGCCACGTGGAGGTTCGTTGGGTTCGTGGGAGGGCTCTCGGAGAGACAAACGCTGGAAGAGCCATGAGAGGCAACCCGCCAGCGCGTTTCGCCGACTGCGCCCAATTTTTCCAAGGCTGTATCGTATCGGTTGCGCCAGAAACAACCAAGAGGTAGCCTAAAGGTGGGCACCCGGGAGCGGTGTAACGCGAGAGGGTCCTCAGGGATTCATTCGGGTTACCAGAATCACCGACCAATGAGAAGTGCAGCAGGGGCCTTGCTTGGGAGATGGTGCTGGCGCCTTTGCTGGGCTCCTCCGACGGAGAGAAGCGCAAGTTTTCTTCCAGGCGCGTCCTCCGCACGATATAAGGGAGAAGCTCCGCCGGGACACGCGCGTCTTGGCGGAGTTCATTGGGGCTCCGCCGTGTCACCGCGCGATGCAGTCGGGCGCGGGCTCGCTGAAATGTTCTGGCAGAAGTGGGAAATCGAGACAATTGTCTTCCAGCGCGCGCCGCGAAGGGCCAGGGGCGCCCCCGCTGGTTGTTGATCCGAAGTTCCACAGGGAGGAATTGTCGCGCCTGTTTAGAGACAGCCGCCACCGATGTGGCGACATCAGACGGGGGGAAGTGTCGCGGCCTGTCCTTTGCCGGAAAGGCCCGGCCGCCAGCGTCGCTTTTCGCTACAGCCGTCGTCATTGCTGGATCAGTGGCGAAACAGACGACGCTGCAGCGCGGTTCCGAAGACGGGCGCGTGCGTCGTCGGCGAGAGGTGGAGGAAGCAGCCCTGGCTCGCCGTCGGAGGGCACATCGCGTGCCACGCTTCCAGCGGCTGTTCTCTCGGAAGCGCGCGGTGCGGGCTCCGAGAAGACGGGGAGGTGAGCGCGCGCGTGACCACGGCGCCGAAGTGGCAGCGGGCCGCGCAGCGGGCGCAGGGTCGGCGGACGTGCTCGGTCGCGGCAGGGCTGCAAAGCGGCCTTGCGGGTGGCAGGCACCGGCGGCGCGGAGGCCTTTTGCTTGTTGTGGGGTACGTTTAGGCCGTTGTGGGGCCTGCTTGGAGGCCTCTTGGGCCGTCTTGGGGTGGTCTTCGGGGCTTCTTGGGCCGTCTCGGAGCACAGGGGAACCTGGGAGGCGATAGCGCCACAATCCTTCAAAAACCGATGCGAAGTCGCAGATGTTCCCCTCTTGAGGCCCTCTTGGAAGTGGTATTCGATGCCTTTGGGGGCGCGTTCGGGATTTCGTGGACCGTCTCGGAGGCGAGATCGATCTTGTTCGGGGCTTCCGAAAGCGATCATACTGCTGTAGTGGGGTCATGAAGAATAATATTGCGTTTAGTCTTATTTCAGTACATATTGAGATTCTTGGGAAATTCGAAGGTAACCTTCGAATTTCCCCCAAAAAAAAACCAAGAAGAAGTAGCTAATCGATAGGGTTAAATGATAATCAGCGCCCCGTCATGATTTAGGGCCCTGGGGAGCCATCTTGGGGCAGCAAGGAGAGCCCGCAGAGGGCCGGACCCCCCTCGATGGGTTCACCAGGGGGTCGTCCCGGGCAAAGGGAAGCGGTCAAATGCCCATGTGGGGGTCCCTGGGGGGGCAAAGTGGGGGGCAGCAGTGTCACACGCCTGGGGGCCCACAAGGTGTCGGCGGATTTCCTTCTCGTTCCTTCCTCTCCTTATCCCTCCTTTTCTCCTCGCTCTCTTCTCTTCGTTTCTCCCTCCTCCCCCGTTTTCTCCCTGCTCCTTCCTCCCTCCTCCTTCTTCCGCACAATGTCACCCCATTTTCTTCGCAGCCTTGACTCAGTAATCCCAGTTCTCCTTCCTCATCATACCTTCTCACTCATCACCCCTACTCCTGCTCCCATTGCTCATCGTGCCAGCCGTCCTCCTGCTCCTCCCCCTTCTTCCGAATCGCCCCCTCGGAACCGCCCTGCAGCGCGGCTGTGGTTAGGATCTCGAGGCGGATGCAGCCGTCGTTTCTCTCCTGCGGGGTGACCTCATCCACTCCCGCGCTGGCCTCTGTCGCTTCTCCACCGGCGTTCCCTCCGCCTGGCACTGGGCACCTTGTGTTAAGTCGGGCCTGTCCCTCTACAGGAGGAATGTTCAAAAACAAGTGGCACGCGTGCCCTGGCTCTTGCACAAAGGTGTCCGAGGCTCAGAGGGGGCTGCCCTGGGAAGCCTGGGCGGGGGGGGGGCAGAGGGGGGGGGGCAGGGGGACGAACGACACACACGACACTACACGAAAACAAGTGGCAC